TAGTATTACTATATATATATATATATATAGTAGTATATATATTATTATATTATAGTAAGTAATATATATATATATATATATATATATATATATACGTGTGTGTGTGTGTATGTGTGTGTGTGTGTGTGTATTAATGTATACGTATATATTTCTGTAGATGTATATGTCTATGTATATTTGTACATATATAAATATACGCGTGTGTTGGTGTGTTTTCCTTTCTATGCACTTATTTTAGAACGTTACTTTTTTTTTGGTATCTGAGTGTGTGTAAATCACAAATGAACGTTAATGCATCAAAATGCATTGCTATTTTTTGCATATATTTATGAATATTGCGAATCTTATTATTTCACATACATACATATCATATATGTGTATCATTAGAAAGTTATGCTGTCGAAACATCATTTGAACATTTAAGTCTCGTTGAAAGTAGCCGGAAATGTTGTTTTCCTAACATTTTGTAAGCACCAGCTGTAGTCGCGCACATATATGTCTAAGATGCAAGCTTCTATTCATAGCTACATTCACGAAGTGTTCTTAAATATATCCTGATTGAAACGGCGCTTGAATCCACCGCTTTTTTGTATGTGGCTCATATATCTAATGTATGTTCGTGTAGGTATCTAGTACGGCTCGGGACACAATCACGGCCACAGAGAAGATATACTACACCAAAGAGACGCAGACTGACAGTAATTGGATGGACGACGAGATTGAGAAACAAGTGCAGCAACGGTTAGCGGATATGGAGGCGGCCCAGAAGCAGAAGGAAGCAATCGAGGAGGAAAAAAGGTAGGCATGGCTGTCGTTTCCCAGTGAAATGAATGGAGTTGGGTCACATTCTTATAGCCATACCCAATGTGTGAAGTTTGACGAGAGGGCTATCGAGAATCAAGCTCATGGATCTCGAAGAAGACACGATGAAACGCAGAATTGTGCTTCTGGTTCACGGCAGCGCATGCAGCATCTATGCGCATGTGTGCAATATACTGGCCATGTCAGACTCGTCTTGCATGATCACTAGTACGGTGTTTTCACATTTTGAGCACTAAATCAACAGCGTATTACGTATTTGTCAGTGTATGCTTTTTTTAGATTAGTACAGCAGCGTGTGGATATAGCAAGGACTTTGTATATATATATGCCATTCACCCATGGAAGTATGCTGTTTGGGAAGTATCGAATATTGACGGCGGTGGCGCCAATTGATACATACAGACTTGCCATGCAGTTGCTGAGTTCATATATGGGCTTGTGGAGAGATCAGGTAGCAGATCTGCATGCTTTGCAGCCATACTGACCACTATTCAGTGTGTGAGTGGTCAAGACTACTCTCCGAAAATCGGTGTTTTATATTCTTCCAAGAAAAGTGATGTTGCTTAATTGTACCAATCGGACGTGCATGCCTAACGCTGTATGAAAAAGTCAAATTGGAACACGGTGCGTATGCTCAGATCGGTATACGATGTGCTTGTGTCGGGTGATGATAGATACATGCTCTACTTCGTGTATTCTCACATACAGACGAAACCCTCGTGTCGTTTTTTTTCTTCTTCACAGGATTGCAAAAGAAGAGGCCGCCGCTCAAGCACGACACGAACAAGGTATAAGTCGGGTTAGCGTTGGTGTGTTCAACATCAATACCAGTGGGCCTGAAACGTCAAATATGAAGATTGGCATTCGCATGTCCAAAATGCTCCGAACGGTATTAATTGCGATATTCGGTAGTGGGAGTTATGATAGCAAACGATTCTGTGCTCAATTTAGTTTCAGCCTATATAGGATTTATATATATATATATATTAAGTATAGTTGTAGCCTCCTGTATTTACATGTAGAAACACTAAACTATTGACGTTCGTATGCACACAATCGCAACTCTGCATACTGACACATGAAATTGTGTGCATATCCATGTACGCATAGGAATATTTCTTTTATATATGTATCCAAATTCTCCTGCTGTCGTATATGCCAATTTGTTCCTCTTTGCACATAAGTGTATTGTTTGCAACACACACACACTTTGGTCACAGTATAATGTTCTATCGTCACACTAAAAGTATCATGTATGGTTATGTACATCCCATTTGCTCATGGTCGCTATTATCTTCTTCACAATCGGAATCTCGTCCTCGCCAAAACAGAGCTTGCACAGCAAGACGTCAACTCGCACATGGCTGTGCTTAACCCCAGTGAATCGACTGCCATAATTCAGACAGACAGCTTTGCCAGGTACAATATTAGAGCTTGTACTGACACATCACAAAGTATATATTTTCAAACATGGTTATATATATATGTATAAATCTATTTATATCTATTTATATTTCTATATTTCTATATTTCTGTATTTCTATTTCTATATATGTATATATATATCTATATATATTTATATATATATATATATATATAATGTATGTATGTATGTATGTATTTATGTTTGTATGTATGTATGTATGTATGTATGTATGTATGTATATGTGTGTGTGTATGTGTATATATATATATATATATATATATATATATATATATATATATATAGTAAGTAGTAACGTTAGTTAGTTCGTTACGTAGTACGTAGTATACTACGT